AACCTGAAGGCAGGAGGTGGCCTCTCCTAATGGTTATTACATTTCGCGGAAGCCTTTGAGGGTAAGGTACAAAAAGGTAAAGCTGTCTCTGTGCTTAACTAATTAAGCATTACACCATAAAGAAGTATTGGGGGAGTGAATGTATAGACCCACGTTTTCTTGACGTCAGCACTAGTTGGAGATGAGCGATTAGCTTCATACCCCGGCCGCTTTACCCCAGGGGATACAGACCCCCGTACCCATTGGATAGGAGGCTGAGTGGGCCTCAGAGCCGGTCTGGACAACATGAAGGAGTGAAAATTCTTGCTCCAACAGAAGTTCGAACTCCGACCCTTCGGTCATCCTGCCCGTAGCCAGTCGCTATACCGAGTGAGTTACCCAGGCTCTGCTTTATGGGTATTTTACCTCATAAATTATTTTACTTAACTGAGTCCACAGAGACCAGTCTGTGACTTAATGCTTGTAACGGTGATATATATATATATATGATTTATTTAAGTACGACTTTAATAAAATAAAGAAGATTGGAAAATATAACTCAGAGCTACTTGCTTCCAAGGTCATGTAAACCAAGCTACGTGGTATAATTATGGTGTTTACGACTTACAGAAGACAATAATTTTTCTCTACGTTAAGACTAAATTCAATATTAATTTACTATTCAATTATGCTGAAAAGAACGGTTAGTCGCCAGCTTCCCACTGCGACGGCCAGTGTTCGTGGCCAGGTCAGGTCATGTGGGTTTTATGATGGACAAAGTGGCACTGGGGAAAATTTTCTCGAAGTATTTCGGTTTCCCCTGCCAGTTCTCATTCCACCGACTGCTTCACACTCATCATCATCTATCATCCGAGGCTGGTGCAATAGGACAGTTAGTGGCTGACGTACCAAGGACTTAGTCTCACCCCCCCCCCAAAAAAAAGAGATCTGAAAGAAGATTTTGCTCTATGAGGTTAGACTCAAATATGTATCAAGTTTGATTCATGCTACTGGCAGTTATGCAACTCACATTTACTTGTCTTTAAAAGAGTACGTTACCGCAACATTCATTTCCCGGTTCTCTATGAACTATAATTTGCTAAATATTATTATTCCTTCTCTGCTTTCTTGCCTCAATTTTTAACTTGCGATGGTAAGTTATGAATGTTACATCGCCATAAATATAAGCTCCAAGGTNTATATTTGTGCGTGTTATGATTCTTTTCTTTTATTCGTACTCACTTAGTAATTGTCCTTTGGGCTGTCAAGTTAGCAGGTAAATAAATAATAACTGAATTATTATTATTGTTCGCTACTACAGTCACCCATAAAATTTATTTAGGACCATTTGGTACGTTTCACATTATTTTGATTGAAAACGTTGTTCAGCCCTTCAGCCCTATTTCACCATTACACCTTTTCATTCTAAAATGCTTGCAAACACAACGTAACATTATTTACCCACGTTCTGAATCCCAATAAACACATTTTATTATAAGAGTCCGATAATATATTAATATATTAGCTTGTGATTCTGTGAAATGACTTACCATACTGGAACATGTTCAGTTTCTACTCCGTTGATCTCGCACAAAACGAACTTCAGTTTGCACACGGCACTTCGAAACATTTCAGCTGATCAGATAAATCCGAGAAATGATTTAGTTGTGTAGGACGTGAATTCTTTTTTCGTATATAAATTAACTACCAAACTCGTCCGCTTTAGATATATTTTCAAATCTGTACCGTCAGATTTATAACTATCTATCTTTGAGATCACAGTCGTTTCTTTATGAAATTACAACAAAACACGATTTGGAAATTCACACACTATAATTGGAAGCTCCACAAACACACACACACACTAAAATTTATCGTAACACATTCACAGCACACGAGATAACGATTATTATTAATTGAACTTGCATCAATAAAATTACACCGGCCTAATCACTGCACACATACCGCCCGAACTACCTTCAAACCGCCCATTTCGATGCGCGTCTTAAAGAAAACTGATGCACTAGCCCGCCTTGCGCTGACCTTCATAAGGACAAGACAACTCTCTTGTTATTGCTAGCAGCCTGTGTCAGTTGGCGTGACTCCACTGTATTCCTTTCTATACGTGAGAGACAGACAACTGATTCACCATTTGAGCATCAAGAAAATAATGACAGTTTGAAGGCTTCACTTTTAAGGGAATATAAAACTTCTATTTATTTGTACGTAGATATTGACGAAGCAAAGAGTAACTGAAGCTACATGACGTTCAATGACAGTAAATAGAGAACCAGAAATGTTATGAAAGGACGCGGAAAGAAATGAGAAAAATTTGAGCTTCCATCGTCACATTTTCCTGGAAGTAAACTCGCCCGATATAACCATGTCGAAATTATCCATCAACTGAAATGGTTAACGAATCTAGGCTCAGGATTCAGACATATTTACAAACACATTTCTAAAAATCTGAACGCAGCTGTTACGGTAAAGCTGGGCTATGTCGGTTACAGATATAAAGAATCGCTTGTTCTCATAAAGACAGTAGTTCTAAAACGTGTTACAATGCGAATGTCGTAACACAGAAAAATGTCCCAGAGAGAATCTAAACTCTACGGGGAAATCTTATGTGAAGTGCCTATAAATAAAAAAAAAATCCATGCACTTTAAAACAGAGGTTGAAAAGGGATTTGTACTTTGGCTTCACACACTTCAAATAAATACAAGAGGAAGACAATTAGGTCTCTTCATCTTCGATTCATCTTAGAAAGTCGTGTTTTAGAAAATAGACAACCCAGCACCGTGAAGTAAGTACATAAACAAGTAATCATCCGGACCATTAACACGTATTATATAAAAAATACGTTACAGATAAACAAGAGCATGCATGAGACTGCACGTCAATTTTTTTTTTCCTTGGCACTAGAGCCCCAGTGGGCCTAGGCCTACCTCCATGAACTCCGTTCACTTCGGTTTTTCTAGGTCTTACACATTCGGTAGGACTCCTTGGGCGGATGATCAGCTCGTCGCAAGGCCTCTACCTGTACTCAAACACAGAAAAACGCACACAAACATCCATGCCATGAGTGGGATTCGAACCCACGATCCCAGTTTCCAAGCGAGCGAAGACAGTACATGAAGCACGTTAAATACTGAAACTAAAAACGGAAGCACAGCAGTTTTATCAAGAATTTTAAACACCTGTTTTCTGATTCTTATTCCCCCCCTCTCAACTATTCTGTCATCAACCCCGTTCATCCATTTGTTCTGCACTAAAATAGGCCACCTCTTCCTTAATCTTTATTTCCTTCTATCGCCCGATGGTCCCCTCAAAGCCTTTATAATGTATATCCCCTCTCTCTATTATGGCAAAGTGGCCTTTTCAAGCTCATCAATTTCTATGTAAGATTTGAGGCTTTCACGGCGGTGACTATGAAGAAAGCAGTCTTCTGGGATTTGGCACCCTGTATAAGTGGTATAAGTATAACCGGCTTTTACCGGTTCTCACGGTCTCTTCGCTTGCAGAATTCTTATATTTTCTTCTACCCTGAAGATGGAGGCGATACGTTCCTCCGAAACGTCGGTTAACACCACTTATACAGGGTGCCAAATCCCAGAAGACTGCTTTCTTCATCAATTTCTGTTAGCGTCCTCCTTATTGGTGCGCTGAAAGTCCTGAATCCGGCCATCTCTTTCTATTCATACCATTTTACCAACCTGGAAAGGAGGCAGAATGCTCAGCCAAAACGTCATTAAACGTCCTCCAGACTACTTAGGGTCACATCCCAGAACACACTACCGTCCATATAGTTATATTATATTATACAAAATGTTAAAAAAAATAAAGCTATCCCCTTAAGAGGCCGTGGAGGCCAATACGATTCTGAGATTTCGAGGCTCCCACATGTTCTAGACAATGGGCTCACAAATTGCGGTGAGGCTGTCAGGCTTATGCGCCGGCCGCCCTTTACCAGCAGTAAGATTCTTGGTACTTATTTCTGTTAGAGGTGGAGTCGACCTCAGGCCTATAGTGAGGCTTGAAGGATTAGGTCAGTTTAAAAATTCAATGACATCACCAAGAATCGAACCTGCGACCTTCCGGCTTGTAGCGAGGTGCCTCAGCAACGCCTAGAGCGTGCCCCTATATTATATCATATTAGAGCTGCGCTTCAATTCCTTGCAATGGAAACGCAGAGGAAAACCTACCCTGGTAATTACAAAATATGCTTCAGATTTCAGACATATCTGAGCACGTAATTTCAGCATCTTACACCGATTTCTTGTTATTTATTCTGTACTCCCTATCCTTTCCTAGCCTTTCCATTCGTACGGAGAATTTATTTCGTTTCACTTCACAATAGGATGGCAGAAAACACCTGCTTGCAATGGCGAGCAGCACGCACACCAAAAATTAGAAACAGAGCATTTGACGTAGGCGTTGTCCGACATGGGCCATGGTCTCATATTGCAGTGCTCAGACGTCACACGCTGGTGCCTCACCGCGAAATCTTGGGTTCAATACAGATTCGCCGTTGATGAAATAGCATTATAGTTTTTTTTTTTTCCAAAGTTTCTTTGGTTTGCCCCTGTTAATGAACATTCCACCATGGCCCGAGGTGTACAAAAATCTTAACCAGGCAACACAATACCATGCTTCTAAATATTAAGTTGGGGACTTCATTCTGCTCCGGTGCTTGGCTGGTTGCAGAATAAAGTATTTATAAATTCCTCTGCTAACATCAGCAGAAAATGAATGTACATTACCAAAGGGCCTAACTAAAATTACATAATGAACTTAAAAATGAGACAACATATATATATCAACCATCATAGCCTTGTTTTTGTCATTGTTGCTTCATATTCAGGACGTCATAGGTTCAAACCTTGGCCCAAAGGTCGCCTATGCTGACTGAGGTGTTTCTTAGTTTTTCTGAGCATTTTCAGTCCTGATTGACCCTCAAATTTAGAAAAGACAGCTTACTTTCTAATCCATTCATTAGTCGTTGGACTCAATTACAGTCTGACTTAATGACTGTATCATTAGATGAAACACAAGTACACGCGACATGTTGGAGAAGGCAATTACAAATTTCAATGAAATCTGCGTACAACTAAAGCCCTGCATAATATATTTTAGTTCGAAAATTTATGCTTTCTTTATCATCGCTACCGGTATCACTGTTTATGTTGGTTGGGCTATCATAAATTCAGTCCAAAATTCGTTATTCCTTGCGCTTCTAGGTAGCCCAATTATCCATTGTCTTCTTGGTCCGTATTTCCATTCTGTTTCTGGTAGCAGTGTGCCTTGCACTCGTCAAATGATGTTTATAATTATTTCTATATTCTAATTCTGTATAGATCATCATCATCAGTAATCTGTCAGACGATAGGTCCACAGTCTCTTCCAAAACAATTCCTCCACTTAATGCGATCTAGAGCTTTCTCCTTCAAATGACAGTATCCTCTTCTCTCCACAAGGTCNAACTGATCTTCTCCATTCTTCTCCAACACCACATTTCGAAACTTTCCAGATGTTTCTGATCTACTGCCCTAAGTGTCCATGTTTCAGCCCCATACAGAGCTATGCTCCAAATGTAGCATTTCACTAGTTTCTTCCTCAACCAGCAGATAATTTGTATTTTTTGTTCTGGTCTTACATCTTTTTGTGTTTAGTACATATTTCACTAAGCAGGTACTGAAAGTCTATCCATGATAATTATATTATTATTAAGACAGTTTCGACGCTCACTTGAAACGGCGTTGTCATAATTTGGAGGGGGAATTTCTTGTTTGTTTCAGTCTAGAACAGTTTAAGGTTTATATATTACGTCAAAATAAATTTGTTCCTGTTCTTAATCACGTATGTACCAAGTCATGAAAATGTGTATGGGTAGAGGTTTAGCTCTATGAATTCTTAATCTTAGCACTTTGTTCCTGCCGAAAGTGTCCCCCATACCCAATGGGTAGGAGTCTGAGTGGACCCCAGGACACTTTGAAGAAAAGAAGATTCTCTTTGCCTTGCTGGAATTCGAACGCCGCCTAATGCCTATTATAATATTACAAATGTGCCTGTCTAGGTGTGCAAAAACAGATTTTATATTGGAAGTACCATAAAGTGAAAATGTAAATGATAGAAAGTTTACAAAATCTTATACATTTTAATAAATAATTTTTTATTCTAATTACCGTGTTAGTGTATTAAATGTTAGAAGACTTCTTAACATGTCGACCTAATGTTTAGGCTATGTAGGCTCGAATAACCTACATAAAAGAATTTCAGTGACATCGACAAAAATGTTTGTAAATTATCACGAAACTTCTGGTCATATTGCCTAGATCTGCTCTCAGAGATGGAAGCAACACGTTCCTCCGAATCTTCGGTAAGCACTTACCAAACTTCACGGCGTCATATCACAGGAGATGATATTTTTCAGACAAAAATCATCTGTTTGACATATTTAAATGATGGAAGTCGAATTCGAGGTTCTCATGGTGGTTACATTGAAAAGAACGATCCTTTTGGTTCTAACGCCGTGTATTTTGGAGAGAACACGACGTTTCGGAAGAACACATCTCTTATATCCTTTAAACTTCGTCTCCCCCCGTTTCTGCTGGTATCTTGCTTGGTTTACATTTTTAATCTGAAGCTGGAGGTGATATATTCCTCCGAAACGTCGAAATATTTCCGAACTTCATGATGACGTTCAGGAGACCACACTCTAATTGAGGGATGAGCTGGGAAAGCAGAATTTATTGCTGGAAGGACAATGAAACACAAACCGTAAGTAAGGAATCGTCCAACAAAGTCGCCATTTTATAAATAAATATATAATTGGAATTCTAACATGAGTATCGATCTAGTGACTCTAGGCTGTAACGCTGGGAACTGGAGCACATGATCCTTAACAGAGTTACGATTTTTCGGGATGCATGAACAAATTACGTATATTCGAATGCGAAATAGCTAACAGCTGCTGAGGAAATACATTTGTTACGAAGA